ATAAAAACCAATAATGCCTTTACACAAGGTAATATGTAAAGTTGTATTTTACTGACAAACACTATAAATACTTCAGCACTAGATTTGTGCAAGACAGCCTCTCGTCGATAGAAATCAAAACATATTGCTAGGGACTTGAGTGTTTTGATTGTTTGTGCTGAGAAAAAGTTCCACAAACATTTAATTTTTATCATAAATTTGAATGTGTCTAATGGAACATTGATTTGGGTTGGATGAAAGTTGTTATTTTAGATAACTGCAGTTCTTTTTTATTCCCTGCCTTATAAATCTGGTGCTGGCCCTTTAATTCCTGCTTGTTCTCTCAGGGGGAAGAATACAGAGCTAAATCCAGCAGACCTTATTTTGGCAAAACTCCCACTGAAGTCAGCGAGGGTTTTGTGAAAGTAAGGACAGCAGGATTTGTCTCACAGTTCCTGTTGATGATTTGGAATATGTTTGCCCCCCACCCCCAGACACCAGAGCTCCTCACTGAGTCTGACATCACCACGGCGCAGTGGCTCACAGTGGTTTTTAGTCTGTAAGCTGCAGTCAGGGAAGTCAGTGAAAAATACCCTTTTCACCCAGTGACCTTGGAAGCAAATGGGGAGTCCCTGGGAGTCTGGAGACTGCTGCTGAACGGACGCTGCAGAAATGGAGACGCTGAGAATTTGGAGGACCTGTTTTAAATTCATGCTGAGAATTTAAAGAACTCTTTAAACAAGCTGGAAATAGGTCAAATTCTGATTGTTAAAAAACAACTACCCAATTGGGTGTTGCCCAGACAGGTGGTACCTTGTGATAAAATTGTTGATTGGTGTAACACTTCCTCACTGGAACACTGGCATGTCCATGAAAATTTCGATTGTTTCCACTCCAAATTGCAATAGAGAAAGGCAGCCAAAGAGTTAACAGCATTCCTTCAGCACTAAAAATGATAACACAGGGCACAGGTTCAGATTGAATCTCTCTTTTTTTTTTTTTTTTTCACTGAAGACTGAGCAAATACAGGGTCAATGAGAGAAACCAGATCTGCAAGCATCAGTGCTCTCCTCATCCACTGACAAGATGACCGAGTAACAGCTTCCCACACTCCACTGTGTCAATGTGCCATGACTTTTCTCCCAAGGGGACACCTTTTGGGTGACAGCACTTCAGTCTCCATGCTCTTTCGGCCATACATCTGTCTGCCTCCATGTGGAAGCTGGCTCCAGGCTCAGCAAACACTGCTGGAGTGGTGATTTAGGAATTGGGCTAATAGTGCCAAATAGCTCTGCATAGATCACTGGCTGAGGACAGCCACCAGGTAGTTAGCAGTGAGCTCTCCCTTGCTGCTCATCTGGGCCAGACATGAAATAGTGATTGAAGCAGCTCTGCACTTCATTTCCAGTTCCTGAACCAGCAAGTCACTTGGAGAACAGATTTCAGATGCTTATTGGGTACCATACTATTAGTCAGAACATTCTCATTGTGAGGACATTTTCTAGGCACTGAATGGTTGCTAAATACTTCTGCTCTATTGTGTTTATGACAGTGAGTGGCATCATATTGTAGGAAAGTCTTACCAAGAAAGCTCTGGAAATCAGGGTATTTAAACAAAATAATACAATAGCAGGTTCTAACTTCTATGGTTGTGGGCAACTATATGCATATGACTTCATTCATAGGAATATCCATGTGAGGAAAGATAAACAAGTAATCCTAGACTTGGGTTACTTAAGGAAGTCTCAGAACATTCATTTTATTTGTTATAGTTCAAATGGAAGTAAAATAGTACCACTAATATAAACAAAACGATCTGATATCCAGATGGTAAAATGGCTGGTCACATAACACAGTAGATGAACTGTTTTCTTGTGCCTGTTTCTGATGCCTGTAACTATTTCATCTCCTAGATCCATGTGGAACTTTCCTCTAGATGGGAAGATCTAGGGACAGATGAAGTCAACATGACTAAATAAATCCTGCAATGCTGCAGAATACTATAGTAGTTGCATAGCTGGAATACTTCCTCATCCAGCTCTGGGGAAAGATAAGGAGAAGCCTTTTGAAACCAAGTAAGATGCTGCTCAAGAGTGACTGTTCAGATCAGTGTTCCAGCTGGAAGAAATGTGGTAAGTGCTGGAGCCCCAGATTTAGCTATGCACTTTTTTGGTTTATTTGGACCTTCACAAGGGAAAGGCAGGTATTTTTCCATATGGTATGTTTAATCTTAGTAGTTAACCAGCTAGGCTATTAATAATAACAAAGTAACAAAACCAGAAACAAGTTTTTTGTTGTAAGTTAGAAAGTAAAGATAAAATCATGAAATTCAAAGATTTTTGAAAGCTCCCATCAAATAATGAGTTAGGTGGAAAAGCCAATGAACAGAATCCATTAAAGCTGCATTTATTTTATGTCCACTTGTATAAAAAGCTAAAAATAGCACTTGAGTGTTTCCAATTTTTTTTTTTTATAACAGTTACTATGATTTTCTGCTTCATCTCAGAAAGTCATTTTGCTGTTGCTGTAGAGTATAATCTGTGTGCCCTTTCTTGGTGCAGTACAAATGGCAGAACACTAATCAGATCAGAACAACAATCACGTCATCTTTGAGTAACTAGCAATAAACTGTTTTTACAAGGAAGAAAGATGAACTATTTTTAGGGTAACTCTGAACAGAAAAACAGAAAATGATTATACTCAATCTTACTCTACATCACTGCTATGAATTTCAAAAGCAGTGTTTTCTCCTGGGCAGCCAGCTAGCCTACGTAATACAGAAATGGGTTTGCATAAATGGTCTTGTCAAACAGGGTTTCCAGGGTTTTGTTAAGTTTTGATTTGAAGTATATAAAAGCCCTTTCTCCCTGCCCTTTCTGATGACTCTGAACCATAGGCTGATTCCCACGTAACCTAAATGCCCATTTTTGGTGATTATCCCATGTTTTCAGCACGTTTCATTTCAAACTCTCTGTTCTTTTACTATAACTGGCAAGTGCTCAGCAAAACCCTCCTTTAGAAGTCCAGGTCTGTGACTACTGTAACATTCTCCAGCTCTCCAGGCCCTATGGTGCAATGCAGGTGCAGTATGGCAATAACGGCAGAGGGCTAGCAGGAGAAAACGTGCAGGTGTCCATGGGGATGGCTGTGCTCACACTTTGTAGTCTGCAGACATCCTTTTCCTGAGGTACTCCCTTCCAGACCAACACAGCCTCCCTTCAGTGCCTTCCCAGGCCTGTTCTCCTCTGTGTCCAGTGATCAGCTCATGGTGGCAACACTGGACGTTCTCCCCACCTGACCAACCCTACCTGTGCCTGTCCCCCCCAGCACAGCCTTCCTTCCACACTCACTGACCATGTGCACAGGGAAAACGTGCTGCTTCTCCTTCTCCTGGGGAAGGTTAGTGTGCAGCTGTAGAGGAAGACTATCCAGCTATTCAGCAGTGTGGGAGGGCATACATGAGGATGTCCTGGGAATCTGTGGGTCTGAGACCTGCTCCTTACACACACAGGGCAGTTTTGAACCTTTTTGGGGCATCTGAAATAAACTTCATTAAATTATATGTTCAAATCTCTTTTTCCTGTGGCCCAGCAAGGTACTTGTCACTAACAACTTACCTTCTTTCACTTAAGAATTGTACACAAAAAGAATTCCAGACAGTCAAAATGTATTAATCAGACTTTAATTTAGTTGTGTTAACAAATACATTTAATGCAAAGGCATACTAGGAACTACCTAATTACCATACTCTCCTTTAACACAGAAAACAGCAGAGTATCTCATAGTTAGGTACCAGAGAAAGCAAAATTATTTCTAATGTTCTGAAATGACATTCTACTTCAGGCAGGAAAAACTAAAAAAACCCCTATCTAGAAATTCAATAAGCCAAGAGAGCAAAGAAGAACAGCAAGAGTTCTGGTCCTGCAGACTTATCTCTCTGCTTCTGGGCTTTGATTGTGGCTAAGAGGCGCTCATCCGAAATGATGAAGCGTGAGGGACAGTTTCAAGCCTCACCTACATTCCTCTTCCTCTGGGTCAGCTGCAGGTCTCATGATGCAATTTTAAAGGCAGTGACAGTTGCTTGTATCTCCCGGGTGGAAGTCAGAGCACACAGCAGCCTTGCCTATCTACCTGCTTTGCATACCCAGACATATGCAAGAGCCACCGTGCCATGTTTCCATCCATCACTAACCCTCCAGCCCTGGGATGACCCTCTTTGGGAAGTGTAATCACTTTGGAACAGCACTGCACAGACAAAACAGCATAAAATGTACTCAGTGGAGAAAAGCTTTAGTCAACCACTGTTTACACTTTCCCATGGGCAACTGAGAAAAATTAGAAGCTATATGTGCAAGAAAAATACCTTTGTTAAAAACAACAAGAAAAGATAATGGAAAAAAGCTCAGAATCCAAGTAATTGTTCTCAGAGCCTGACGCTGTAGCAATGAACTGTCTCCTGGAAGCACAATCAGTTTAATTCAACCGTGCAAGGAAATTATGACTAGGAGTGTGCGGACAAGGTCTGTGCAGCTCCGAGCGAAAATGGCTCCATTCTTGCCAGTCACACTGGATGAATAAAGACAATAGGGAAGGAATGGGCCAAGCCAGGAGGTCCACAATTATACAATATCAAGCCCCAGACCTTGCAAAAACGTAACCTTAGTGATGGGGAGTAAGGAGCAGAGCAATTACGTAAGTTTTCTGTGACCCTGGAGAAGGATTTCTTTTCCTTTGATCTCTCTGCAGGCGCATGCCATTCCCAGCCTCATAAAACAAAGATTTACGATCAGGTTCACCCCAGTGCAACTCTCATAACAGATCTTCCTAACCACAAGATCTTGTCGCTTAATGGAGGAAAAGCTTCGTAGAGTGGTTAGTTGCTCTCTTTGTTTATCTGCCAGAACCAAATAATGCACAACAAATTGTAGAAATGAAGAAAGCAACAGCATTTAGTAAGAGGTTACCTTTAGGAAGCCAACACGCTGTCTTCCTACTTCATGTTGGTATCAAGAAGGAAGAATTCATAACACAAGCCTGTCTTTACCTCCTTCCTGAATGACTTGACCAATGGCTGTTTGATTTTGTTGTTTCAGAAAACATTCTCTCTTACATTCCATTAACTGCTCAAAATCCTGCCACATTTTAATTTGCTTCATATTTGGCCCATGACTTTCCCGTACAACTTTCTGCTTCTCCCGTAATTTCTGTTAAAAATGCAAAAATATTAGATTTTTGGAACAGTTCTATGCCACAAAAACTCCTTATATAGGCAGCTTGGAATGACAAAGATTGTTATGTACTACTGAAATGTTATTTTGTTCAAGTTAGTGTGGTAACACTCCTTGCAAGTGGGACTGGGATATCTGCTTTGTATGGATTGACAATTATTTTACTGTTTTAAAACCATCTAAATAATAGTCCTTTCTATTTGAGAAGTTAAGCTAAAAATCTGATTTCATTTCCATACAGAGCTCTTGCAACCTGCAATGGATTCATATCATCTTATCAACATGAAATCGATGTTTTACAATTAAACTCTCTACTGATTATTAATAGTGGCAGCCCAAACGTGCAAAGATTGCTCACAGATCGACTCACAAAAAGGAAACTATTAAAAGAAAGCCAGCTAGTGCAAGTTGGTAAGCCTGACCTCGTCCATGCTGATCTGAGCTGCATACAAGATTAAAAATGGACAACTGCTTTTGTTTAACACTGCTGTGCTGATGATCCCCTGGCCTTTAATAACAGTGATAAGGCTGACAGGCTCAAAATTTATTGTCTTCAACAGGTTGCTTTATATACAGCATAAAATTTGAGCTGGCACAGTTTGTTATGCCCGTGTTTCAGTTTCTTATCCAAATGGTTTTCAGGAATGTGCTGTCACGTTAAGCTGTTTGACTATCTTTTACAAGCAGCTCATGCTATACTCTGCAGGAAATCAAGCCCTGACGAGCGAGCATGATCTCTTTTCAGGGTATTAGTTACCAATGCCAGCAGTAATGGAATTTTCTTTGTAGGCTGCAATATGCTTTTTATAAAAGACCAGGCACAGCCTTTGGTAATAAGCCCCACCAAAATATGAACTGTACGATTTTTTTTTACAAAGTAAGAATATCATTCTTACCTTTCCAAGGTTTTCTTGTTCAAGGATCATTCTTGTATATTGTTCTCTATAGGAAATAGAAAATAATTTTGTTATGATTTTATTTGGTTCTGTGTAATAGGACAGAATAATGGTGCAAGCATGGAAGATTATGAATGTCCTGAGAGGTTCATAAATGAGATAGTAGAGGATGCATGAAGAAACCTTTCCATCATTGCACAACATATCCCTTGACATCAAGAATCAGATCTCTTTGATTCTCTCACTTGTGCAGTTGGCTAAAGTGATGCTGGGTAAGATCTCTTACATTTTTGAAGCACGTACAATGACTGCACCCTTCAGCTTGAAGACCACAGCAAGATCATTTAGATAAGATATCCTTGATCCCTTTTTAATAATGTGTTTATCCTGGTGATATTCTGAGGTCAGCCACGGTGGCCTCATTTGTACAAGAGCAGAGTTTACAAATCCACAGCCCTTAATACCTGTGAAGGTAGTGTTAGAATGAGTGGGAAAACACAGGAATGAGGGAGAATAGTGTTTCCCCCTAGGTTGGACAAATCCAGTGACTGCCATGGCACTGCCGCGCGTTCCCCACTTCCAGAAAACAGCCGTCACATTTAGGTGCCTAAATATAGGCTTAGAAGCATAACTGCTGACACTCATTATTGAAAATCTTGGCTGTACACCTTTGTCTGTAACAAGTGGCTGGATCACTTTCTGACATATGTGGACTTGATACATGAAACCTGACAATATAATGTGCAAACCAGAACAACATGATTCAGATATACTACTATGTACTTTTTTTTTTGACAATGAAAAGGCTCTTAACTGATTCACTTGGACAGAAATAATTATTATATTTTGTGTGTAACAGGTACACTTAGAGGTTGAGAGTTTGCTAGTGGAATTCAGAATTACCTGGCTCATCTAAAGAACTTTCCAAATTGCTCAGGGTAAAAGCACATTGCATAGAGAAATCCTAATTTCCAGAAAGAATTACCAGCCTTCATGATTCCAGAGTGTGAAGGTTTGCTAGAGCATGGCAGGGAGCCACAGAGAACCCAGACACTGCATTTCTTATATTCCTTCCATTTCTACTAAGTACTCCAGGCTTTCGACAGGAGCACTTGGCCCCCTGGCCACCTGGTCCTGCCTGCCATACTCCCTGCAGCACGGACGTGCAAGGAATGAAGCTGGATCATTTAGTGATCTCTCAGTCTTGGCCAATTCCAGCCAGAAGGAATCAGAGCTGCCCTGAGGCTGCTCCAGGTGCTGTGCTGCACAGCTGATCCCCAGCAAGCCTCTCCGAAGCAAAGAGGTGGGAAGCCACGCTGAGTCTTCTTAGTTCCACTGGCACACAGCATGTGTTCACACACATCAGGCCTCAAAAACAGACTTTGTTTTTTTTCTAAGTAGAGTTTTCAAAGTAATCATCAGAAGATTAGATGTCTTTCCTAGTAGATTTTTCTTTTCTATTTATAATGATGACTGGAAAGAATGCAACTTAATATCTTCATTAAAAAACTTACAACTTTCTATTTTTAGATAAGAAAATGAACTTTTTGCATTCTTAAGAAGTGACTCCACAGAACAGAGAGCTTGTAGTCAATAAAGAGGTCAGAATTAAGACAGTTTTCATTCAATATATTGTTAGGAAAGTGCCATTCTATTTATGGTTCATTTTTACCCCATTTACATTCCAGTGTCTGATGAAAAATACATTCCCCTTCTAAAAGGATGTCTAGAAAAAAAAAGTATCATCTCATATTATATTTCAAAGATCTCTGTACTGAATAATTGCAATTTTGTTGTAATTCATTGAAATGCAACAAGTCTGTGACCTCTTACAGAAGGTAAAAAATGTGCATAGTCACTGTGAGAGGCTCATTTGCCTCCCTTCTGTGCCCACAGTTAGCAAGTGAGACAGGGACAGCAGGGAGCTCCGCTCACATTCTCCTCCCCATACCTGGAATTACATAGCTGGGCTCACACTTCATTCCAGCCTCTGGCTTTGATGGCTTCTGTGTGAATATTCACACTGAGGATGCTCATTTCACAAGTATTTGAGCTGAAGCATTTTTCTGCTTAGCATCTGTGAATACAGACAGACCCTCCCCTTGCCTGCGAGGCCATAGAAGGACAGTGCCTGCTGCCTGACCCCCGCTTCCTCTCAGCTGCTTGGCTGAGCTGGGTTGCTTTTCATACTAATGAATATTCATATCATCACTAAGATTTTTCTCATAGCCACTTCTCTTTTCATCCTTCTGCTTAATGTTGCTGTTTCATCATATAAATCTTTTCTTTCCTAAAGCTTTCCATTATTTTGTGAGTTGGAATAAGAGAATTCTTAGTCTCCGCACACATTTGATCTCCTTTTCTTCTCCCACCATAATATTAGTAGTTTTGATTCTTCTCTTAACTCTTATTTTTCCTACATTGTTTACTACACAGTGTTTAAACACTTTCATGCCCTATATCCTTGCAGAAGGTCTGTGTGATGGGTATTAATCTAGTGATCTCTGTCTCGTGTTCGAGAACAGCAGCAGCTCCACTGGTACCAGCACAAGGTGCATCAGGACGGTTTCTAGTTCATGAAGTATCTGATGGAGGATGAAGAAGGCCTCATCTCTCAGTGTCTCCTGAGGGAATCCCTGGAGTTTTCTCACTCAATTTGACACACTGCTATCCCTATCAATCATTTCATTCCAGAGCCCATAAAATCTTGGTGATCAACTACTGCCTTTTTTCACTCCAGTGAGTGAAGAAATTGCCTCTGGTGATACTGAATGACATTTGATTATGTACAGTACCAACTAAAAGTGCTTCCCTCAATGCCACCACTGCAACAGAAAGGTCCAGAAATTATTCCAAAAGGTAAAAAGTCCTAAGAGGACAGATATCTTGGAAATTAATTTATTCCTCCAGCTCCTTTGAGATGTGACGGACAACTACTGGTTCTCTTTTCCTGTTGTGATGTCAGCATGCTGGATGGTCTGAAGCTTTCAAATTGAATGTAAAACAATTATTAATCACCTAATTAAGCGGTTCTGTCTTTGTTTTGCTGCTCAGTCACATTTTTAAATACTTTTGTGAAAAAGCCCACAGGATGAAGCAACTGGCTTTACATTGGAGTAAATTAAATTGAGTGTAAAGATGCAGGTTAGTGTGATGGTGTAGAACAGCATTTGCTCTACCTCCACTAAGAACTACAAATAAGAGCAAACCAAAATCCATTTATGATGGGTACATGTAGTCCTCTGTTCCTGCACCAGTGATGGTGACAGCCATTATACTTGAGAGAGGAGTAGAAGACTTGCAAGAAATGGCCAGAACCTGAGGGCAGCATATGGCTGCTCTCTGAGAGGTGGTAGACCTTCTACTGCACACTGGAGTCTCAGGGGGAGACTTGGCAGAGGCATTACTTCTGATAGAGCCACGCTTCCCAGCTGAAGCTTCTCTGAGCTCATGCCAACAGGGCCTGCAAGTTAAACCCGTGATCTGGGGCCTATAATCTCCAGCAGGAAGGGAAAAGCTTTTGGTATGTCTGAGAGAACTCGTAGGTTTACAGCAGTATATAATGGAATTCGAGATGCTTATTTTTAGATTATTATAGTGTTTCTAAATTTATCAGGTGAACTCCTCCAGTTCAAATGCCAGTGAGAAAATTCCTAACTTCAGCCTTAGATCACGAATATCCTTCAAGTTAGCTCAGAGGAAATGCATTAATCCGCTTACCGAACTGCCTTCCGCCTCTCCTGGGGGTCTGGGGAGACATACGCCTTCATTTCTTCTTTGGCACGCTGCAGCTGTACTTCTAGAGTCTATAAATGTGGAGTTTAAAATAAAAAACAAACCATATAATTGCTATTTCATTTTGCATGGAACAACTTGGTCCCACTTGTGATCTTACCCTTTTCATGCAGTTAATATAACGGTAGTTGCTTTCTTCCTGAACACACTCCTCAAGAAGTCCTTTCACTTCCTGCAGTACAAGAACAAGGTTTCAAAGGACATCGTAACTGAAAGTCCACAGGAGATGCCCTGTGTTGCTCTATAAACCATCACAGTCCCTATCAGAAATGGGTAGAATAATGAACTAAAAATTCTTAAATGTTTACATAATTTGGGCGTTACAAAAGTCTCTTCTTTTAATGAAAGACATGGGGTTTTCTATTTGCATTTTTCAGTCACAGTTAGAGATGCTAAATGGTTGTTAATAGGTGTTTATTAATGACTGACTTCTAACAGACACTTCCCAAGTGCTGCCAAGACTCTTGTTTGTAAGCACATCTGAAGTGCTACATACAGTTACGAATAAGCCTTTCCTGGAACACATCTATGAAGTGTGTGTTAGAGACTACAGCCACGTTAATAGAATGTTAATTAGCAATCAATAATTATGTTGAGGAGTATGGAAGTACTGGGTTAGTTCCATCTCTAAATGATACCAAAAAAATAGCTAATACCAAAAAAATAGCTAATACCAAAAACCCTAATAATCCAAATGGAATTCATGTACTCCAGGTCACACAGCCATTGTCAGCTCCAAAGCTGTCGCCATGTGATTTTCAGACCATCAGCTGGAAAATTGAATTCTGCTGTTCAGCTGTAAGAGTTTGCTGACACTCGTGTCCAGCTTAATCAGTAGATGTGATGGCCATCACATGTTAGAAAATGACTGAGAGTTGTCTGCCAAGAAAAAAGCCTTGATTGCTTTTGTAAAATAGTTCTTGTGGAAGGTCTACTTCATAACAGGTTCTTTATTTCGCTTAGATTAAGCCATACAAGTGTACTTTTAGTACAGGAAAAGATCTACATATCCACCCACACTTTAAATGTATGCCTTTTTTGTTTTGAGATATATTCCTTATGTGGACAAGGCCTCGAAAAATCAAGTCCAGACGACATTCACAGGAGGTGATCTAGTGAGATTCCTCTAAACACATTAATATCATCACCAGCTTAAAGGATTGTGCTGCTTCAAGTACTTCCCTTCCTAAAAGTGCTGTAGTTCTTAAACTACATAAACTACCTAGACACAAGTTCTTGGCTAGACCTATATGGCTGTATTCTTCTAAAACTTGTTGCATGCCATAATACAAGACAGTCAGATTTAATGAACTATCTTTCCTATCAATTTCAGTGCATTAATTTTCCATTGCATGAGTTGCTAATTTAACAAATCTGCTGAATGCATATGAAGGGGTGTCTTGATAAATTAACCCTTATTTTAGGGTCAAATTCTTTCCTAATGGATCTGTCTAGGTCAGCAGGATTTCTGGCAGATGCATGTTCTTTAACAGTATCCTTGCTAATCAAAGCTGGACATCAGCAGATGGACAAAGGTACCACTGAGTTCACTTGTTGCCTTTGTAGCTCCTCCTCAGCAGCCTCAGGCACGACTTGCATAGTCGTGGATCACCACTGACTCATTTCCACGTGAAGTGGATTTGTACTTTCCACATCCAGAGGGAAGGCAGGGGAAACCTTGCACCATGGTGCATGAGACATTGCACAGAACTTCCCCACAAGCAGGCCAAGGCACCCCCTCACCTGCTCCAGCGCAGAGCGGTTGCTCTCTAACCCCGCTGCACAACTGTCGTACTGGATTTTTTTCGCATCGCATTCTTGAGTTAAATCCTTATGTGAAAAGGGCAAAAGGGTACACAAATGAAACCTTCAGTTGACTGACATGTGACATTCAGGCTGACTTTGTTCTCACACACCAGGCTCAGCTACTGGCACGCTCACAGAGCCTTACATAAACCCAGCAGGCACACGGGTACGATTACGCTCGGGGAAGCCACTCGCCTCCACTCACATTCTGGAGGATCAGCTGTATACACCACACCACAGCATGAGAATTTCCTCTTTACAGCCACATCCAGAGCTTTAACATAGTAGGTTAATAGGGCAGGATTTGCAAGAAGAAAGGAAAAACAGTTATAAAACAGAGATTAAGAAAGGATTCATACACTCGGTACCTGTGAAAAGCCAGCTTTCTAGCTGGGCATGATAAGCTGGGTTTCATTTACTGACACTGTTAACAGAACCATTAAAAGTAAGTTTCCTGGAAATTTGCTCGATAGATAAATGGATAGCTCTATTTACTTCTGTGGCAAGCAGCCAACTTAGAGCAGCTGTGGACCTGAATGAGTTTTTTGTCAGCTCTCTGTAAAATTTTGAAAACAAATGGATAAATCTGTTGGTCCTACAGACTAATGTACAACTTAGATCAATGTATTCAACCACTCAGATAAGGTATGATTTGCAATCCATTTAAAAAGGAGGGTGTCTGTTGAGATCATTTGTGCTGAGATGCAGAACACTTTGGCCCATTTGTAAACTAACTTTGCTATGGTTTTGAACAATGATTATTTAAAATTTTCCCTGGTGTAGTAGTTTTTTAATTGCTATGAAGGACAATATTTTCAGCCTGATTTTGTGCATGCACTGTCAGCTTTTAAAAATTCCAGTCTCTCTCATGGTGCTTGTTGCAAATCGCTGTTGACCCATTCTGCTATTTCCAGCTTTCCTTCAGAGCTGATCATGTCTTTGCACAGCACTACAGAGATCTGTAAATTACTTGTGAGTCTGACTTTATTTACATAGAATGAGGGAGATGTTTCTACAGACCCGGCAATTTTGACGCAGCTGTCTCAGTTCTTTGATAACAGGAGCTAGGCTTGCCTTCTTCTCTGCCACCATAGCATTCAGTTTTTTCACCTGGGAGAGGGACAAAATAATACACATTAACACTGTGACACTAATTGTACTTTTATAGGATTAGGAATGTGAAAAGAAAGATAAGTAAACCAAAATATATAAAGAAAAAATGTGCAACAAAGCCTGAACTAAATATAAGATAACCAAAGTTCAGGCCTAATTACCAAAGGGAAAGACATTACCAGAAATGAGACAAATTCTGCTCCCATTGTTTCACCAGAGAAGCCCAGAAGACAGCCTCTGAGCCAGACACCTAAAGAGCTTAAGGAGTAGGGGAAAATGAAGCCTTGCATAGAGGTGGACTGAGACAAAGGCAGAAGTCCTCAAGAAAACAAACTAAAAAACTTGTGTAAGTTAAACAAAGTTTTGAAAATGCTAAAACAGAATCACTTCAAAATATTTATACTGAAAATTTAAATTTGATCCAGCTTTCTATTTGAGAGTCATTCTGTTTTAATTATACTGCTTTATTTTAAAAGTGACTTAATGATTTCAGAATGCTATTTTGCTTTCTGCTCTTTTATAATATTTTCAAATTAGAAATTCGAGTTCTGTCTTGCCTCTATGGCTATGTGGGAAGTTAAATTAAAACATGACAGATCTACAGGCAATTGAAAATTAGGCTATAGAGAAAAAGACATGATATTTAACTCTCTAGGAATATTAAATAATTTTTTTAACAAATGTTTAACTCCAGTGATTTACAAACATTTTAGAAAAAGATCCATTAATGATTCAAAGCATTTGTCTTTTTCAAATAATGTGAAGGAACAAATACAAAACCCCCTCTGAAATCACAAAGAAGTAAAAAAATAAAGATGATAGACTTGGTATCCCTAATGTTTCTAAAGGGGAGGAAAGCAGGATTTATTTGTACGATTTATTTTTTTTATAATTCTAAATTTCTTCTTCATACATTAAAAGAAATGCATATTTTAGTAAACTTTTTCAATATTACCTTTGCAGATGTATACTGTTTAAAAAATATTTCTATATCTAAACAGAGATTAAAAGAAAATTAAAAATATTAAACTTGGTTTTATATGCTGAGGAACCAGATATTCAGGTGTATGAAATAAAATAGTTTAAAAAAATCACCATTTCAGACATGTTATCTAGTGTCCGGCCTTTCATTTCATCCACTTCACTCTTCACTGCAGATACTCTTTCCAACTCCTCCTGGGTGTAACTATATCCAGAAATACCTTTCTTCTCTTCAATAGCTTGCTGCAGACACAAAAAATAAGTGCTGATTGTGAGTCCATCACTCAAGTAATGTGGCAAATTCCTTGACAGAGCCAAAATATCGTAAGAAAGGGAAGGGAAAGGTAAGTACAGTAATCAAATTATTTCTAAAGTGATTAATAATCTAGCTGCCAGAAAAACAAACTTTTTAACTAGTGCCTATGCAATAGGATAATAACAACTTTCTGTAAATACACTATTTTGTCAGCCAGCACTCAAGGAAATTACTAGAAAATTTCCACAAAGTAATAGTGGGCTTTAGGTCAGGCTCTGAAGAAGTTCAGTGTGCAAAATCCAGATGTTTAATCTGAAAATGTAGCTAACTGTTTTTTAAACAATTGTCAAACAAAACTAAATAAGTATTGTATTCATTATAGTAATACCAACACCAGCCTGCCAAATTCCAGTGTTACTTTACACACACTTTACATTTAATTATATGTTGAGGTAATGGTCTGTAGTGAGGCTTGCTTGTTAAGGAGGGTATTATCTGAAATCTCAAAGCTAAGTGTTGATTTACACATCCACAATTTGTTAAAAAGCAAAACATTCTTTCTTAAAAGTGGCAGATATCTATGAACTCCAAGTCTGTTATCCTCAAACCCCTTTTACAACATTATGTTTAAGAGATTTGTCTCTGCTGATAGCTACTGCTACCATGATGGGAGCATCTTGTAGATTTAATAGCAGTGTGTAGTTTGACAGGATGTTAAGCGAAGGGCTAGAAAAAGTGTATTGGATTCTGTGGGGAAAAGTGTGCACAAGGCATTTGGTGGTAAGAACCTGATGAAGTCAAAGCCCTGTAGTTTTACTACAAGGTAGTTTAGAATAAAGGTCAGATTTGAATGAGGATATACTAGTGACTACTTCGCAGAGAAACCTCTAGTGCTTGGTCTCTGCTGTGATCTTCCTGTGAGGTGACTACTGTACATCAGCTATTGTGCTGTAAATAAGCCCTTTTTAAGGATTTATTTGCCTTCCTTCCAGATGAGTAGCAATCATGAGAAAAAGCTCTGATCCTACTGCTTAGGTGCTTCTTTCTACCCTGGTAGGAGTTCTGGGTTTATTTTTAATTAAACAGGGAATGCCCTATTGAAATTGCATGATGTCATCCACTGCAGCTAAGCGAGGATCTTTCCAAAGTCAGTCCCATGTATTTTCACACTTTGAATTTTCTTTTAATAAGGCAAACACTTTTAAGTTTTAAAAAAAAAAAGTACATATAACAAAACAGATATTAAAAAAACCTAAGTACTTTGATAACAAGAATATTGGTATTGGAAGAAAATAGTAGAGCGGTAGACTGCGTTTGGGATACATGTACAGTCCCTCAGTGCTCACAGTGTGCATAGCAGAAATCCTTCTCCTGCTGTTCTGGCTTAGCAAAAGCATTCATCCAGTTTTAAATTTTTCACTGCCTGTGAAATGCATTTTCTTCTTAATACCCTGGAGTTAGAATGTTTCCTCCCTGCCCACCCTGTTTTTAAATACTATTCCAATATATTTTGCAGTAGTAACTTGAGTCTTAGTTGGTGTTGATAATTTTCAAAGCCCTTACTATGTATGTGGATACCAAAAACTAATTTAAGAATCCACCCTTGCTCTGACTGGAGTTAGTGAAGATTTACCACTGACTTTATAAAGCAGGGTCAAGCCCCTCAGTTTAAAAAGAAACAGCAGAGCAGTCTTGAATGTAAGAAACTGTTGCTGAACATGAAGTACAGCAGCACAGCATAGTCAACAGACAAAAATAAATTTTATACTCCAATGACTGTTTCACTAATGACAGCAGGAGAGCTGAGGATGATACACACGAGAGTCTAACAAAACAACATCCATCCCATTCTATAGCTGCTCTCAGGGCTGGAAGGGTGATGGGCTGTGGGAGCAGCGAGCGCTTGTATTACCAACTGCTGCTGAATAGCCTCGTGGCGCTGCTTTAGGAGTTCTTCTGTCCTCTGGAGGACACCATACTCAGCTGTAATTTCTGCTAGTTCCAGTCTCTTCTTTTTATAAATCGTGTTCTTGCTCCGGAGCTTATTAACATAGTGTTTAAACTGAAATGAGAGAGAGCAGAGATATCATTTAACTTAAAGCAAAAAAGGCCTTATCACAGACTGTTGCTATATAAAATATAATGATCTTATTTGCACTGCATAGTGAAGATTAAATGTTTAGAAGAGAGGACTGGAATTCAGAATTCCCAGGGCCTCTTTATTTTCAGCTCTGCATTTGTTCACTGAGTGAGATCAAGAAAAACATCTCTTGCTGTCTGTCCCAGCTCACTCATTTGTGCTAGTGAGATCATTCAGTTCTGCTCACCACCGTTGGATGGCTGGAAAAGTAATGACTCTTTGCTAACTGTTATGAGAATCATGGATAATAAAAAAGTTAATGTAACAGTAATTTGTACTTGTAACAGAGCACCAGATCAGCAGTGTGTAGCCCCAAAGAGCTCTGCAGACCAAGAAACATGATAAGAAACTGCAGAAAAAAACTGGGAGAGGGCATGGGAAAAGACTATTTTTTTTTTAAATGCTAGTTCTTAACAGTTGAAATTTGTTCTTTCCTCTCATAGACATAAGTGATATCAGTGGCTAAGTTTTAAAAATAGAAAATAAAAGCAGAGTTCTTGCCTAGAAGCAGAGAAATGCAGTATCTACTTCACTCTAAAGTACAATCTAAAGTAATGGAGAATTTATATTTTTATTACAGACTAAATAATACATATTCTTACAGTCAACAGCCTTAGCTAATTTACATCTGAATCCATGTGTACTCAATTTGCAACATGTATGAAATATCAGGTGTTGAAACAAATATGTCATATTTTTCTTTGCCTTAATGTTTTCCATCTGTCAAACAGTCTTAGGCTCTTATACTTTCCGTGAGGGTAATGAAGCAAATGCCAGTCACAGCTCAAAAATGCATTCTGATCCAGAGATGGAAAGCAAATAAAATTTATTAGAGGAAATGCTGTAAGAACATGCTTGAGAATGTTCCTTGATGAGTAGGGGTTCAGCTCGTGTAGAATGAACATGAAACAGGCAGCCCCAAGGAGAAAATAGGAGTCCACACACCATTGATACAAGTTGAAAACTCAAACATAAAAGAACTTAAGATTTTGGAATTTACATTATTTTTTCTTTTTGCAAAATTATGCCTTTCCCTTCGAAAGAATAGATTCAAAAAATCAATGTGACCACAGCCTAAGAACCCCCAGAGTAACTGTATGTTCTATAAAAAGTGTCCTGGGCAAAATGCCCAAAGTGAAATCAACCCTGTTCATCTGCCATCCTGTGCAATATCTAGGCCAAAGCTGCTTCTCTCTTGCTATGCTCCAGAACTATTTTTAAAGCCCAAAGCTATAAACGTTTTTGGTGAAAGAACAAACCCACCAATTACTCAATGTGCTCTATGCAGACTCTGTGGCCTCTGGGTGGCTTTGGATACCGTTTTCCATTGTGTGCACTACCTAGGACAAGGATAGACAAGGTCACCTAAGCCCGAGCGCAGCGCAGCGGAGGCAGCTCTCTCACTGTCACACTGTCTTTGTTATATTATTGGCACACTTAATATAGTTTTACCAGAATTAATTCTTTTTCATAGCAAATTCAAGTATATCCTCTTAGTTAATACAAAAGACTTTTTTTTTTTTTTTAATTGCTTAGACAATACAAAGTTCTCTGTGATTTTCAAGAGATTCTAAAAGTATAAATAGAATCTCTCCAACCAACTCTGGAAAATTTAAGGGAATCACAGTCATCTGTCTTGATCAGGTAGTTCCTGAGATATTTTCATTTGACCAGAGGAATATAGTAAAGAATGGTGTAAAGAATTAAACTTCCTTAATATGTGACCCCACACATTTATCAAATCTGAATGATTTTCTGTCAGTTTATCCCAGGATGAAAAGCAAACTATTATTCTCTTCACTTCTATAGCTGCTTTTAAGGTCTTGAAAATAGCTCAAGTGGGAGGTAGAGTATTTGCATATTCAATATTCAAAGCATAATGTATTTTACAATGGAAGTCAAAGGATCTTGTTGATTAAAGAACTGACTCCACCAATGGTCTATTATTAGCTGATTATGTTAGGACTATATAATAAAAATTTCATCCAAAACGAACTACAAATTGCTGACACTGACAAGTGAAACCTATTCATTTTGGGAGATGGATGTCTATCATGGCAAGTGCAGGCTTTTTAAAAGCAAACTTAACCTTTCACGTAGCTTTTATTGCAGCAAACAAGATAAAACAAGTTATAAACAACAGCAGCAAAATGGTAATATCTGTAGAAAAACCGATCAATAGTTTGGCAGAATAATTTAAGAAGACTTCATCTAATCCAAATGCTGCACTGATTAGCCCCTTAAAATTTCACTAACTGAAGGCTTCTTTAGATCCAGGGCCAAATTCAGAGCTGGAGTTATTAGATTTGACTCCACTTAAATCAGCAGCTTGTGGGGATCTTATGGCAAAATTAGGTTTATTCAGCCTAAAAACCACAAATCATTCTGTAGGTTTCCAAAAATGAAAAATAAGCTTCTTGTACAATAACAGTGCTTTTGGTTGTGTAAGCATCACTTCTGGAGCTTTACACATCTCATGCTCCCACCTATACATATGTGAAAAATCAAGCCCTAAAAATGCTACAAAACGTTGTATTTTCCTGCAGTAAGAGGTCTTTTAAATAATTTGAATAGTTCACAAAAGAATAACATTGCCTTGCTGTATCACTTCAAAATCAACTAAGCAAAAGGAATCCGTTTTTGAGCAGCAGCATTTTCCCATAGACCAGGTCAACTGCTCCCTGTGTAGAAACTCAGCAGGCTCAACCTACAGGATTCCCATGGACCTGTCAGTGCCCGCAGCGATGGGCCATTCAAGGCTATGGCCACCAGTAAGCTTTTCTTTCTCAAGCAACTTAACACAAATAGTTATTTAAGCTTCAAAGATTAACTGACTGGACAAGGACCAAATGCTGGCACTGAATTAGCAGTTCAAGTAAACAAGGCTGGAGACCCATGTTTGGTGGCCAAGTCAGAGCCCCCTGAGATATAAAAACTATCCAAAGGAAAGCAAAGAAAGATCATGCTTTTTCACTTGGCTATTTTTATGGGTGACTGTAACATAACAAGCGTGGAATCCAGATTATGAAATAGAGTGAATGAAAACAGGACTTGGATCTCTCATGCAATGTCTCGCAGCATGCAGCTATCTAACATCCCTGGGCAGATTTCCTGTGTTATGTTCCATTTTTATTGAAAGAATCCAGCAATGCCAGTACTTCATGCTTCTCCACTTCTTACAATCTGAAACAGAGATTGCTATCACCAGATCCAGTCTTACCACACCACACTCCTGTGAGGTAATTAAGTATTACGACAATTCTAAATGCACCAAAATCGAATCGCAGCTGTTAATGTGCTCCTGCAGGAGCACCCAGGTCACCCCCTCCAGGAGACAATCACAAAACCCAGGCGTGTTGCCTGCATGCCTGGGTGCTTTGCTGAATGAGGATCAGAGCCCAGCTCCTCTAACGCTTTCACCATAAGCCTGTCGTTTTGCTTCCCTAGAAATAACAATTGCCCCACATGAAGTTTTCTTAAAGTTCCATGATCGTCATTAAAGAAAACCAGATAAGCTTGTTTTCAGAAAAGAACAAATCCCAGATGAGTCCCTTGCTTTCAAGTCAAAGCTTTAAAAATAGTATTTCCTGGATTACTGTATCAATTTGATTGCATTACAGTATAAAGTTCTACAGAAAATAAACTATTAATTGAAAAAAAAATACTGAAATGTGTAATCTAAACAAGGTTGCAAATAAACAGTTTTGATAATAACATTACTTGCATAAGCTCAAGAATTGCAGAAAATCTTAGCTGACTATCTCTGGTTTTATTAAGAACTGAGAAACACATGCATTAATTTTATAACTAGACCAATTAACGGGATACAGACTGTCCAAAGTACTAAAATTCAGTTAGGAGAAGTTCCTGATCTTGACAGATTTACAGTATTTTTTCCTAGGAGACTCTAAATTTAAGCTGGAACAGCCACTGTTAGATATAGTTAATAACTCACCCACAGAAGGAGAAACTTGTAAAAGATATGAACAGTATTGCCTCAATCTATTAAAATGAAAGTATCCTACAGCCAGCTCATTGGACAGAGCAATCAGGAAAATTCTTCATTAGCATTAAGCAGGCTATCTCTTCTAGGGGTGCTTACTTCTGGTCAGCAATATGTATTAGAGTAGCCATTACTAATTATTTGGATCAACCAGAATATTTATAATGAAAAACCATTTTCAGTTATCCCCCAAAATGCACAGATCAATAAAATGGATGATTTATTCATGCCAGTGGGTGCATTCACTTCAGTTCAGATTTGTCTGAATCACTGCATACATTTGGCTTAAATGCTGGTTAACTTCTTACAGCAAAAAAGCTTCTGGCTTCTGTAAGAATCCTACAGATTTGCCACATCTGCTCTTCTACTTCCATGTGTAAGGAGCCTTTGACAGACAGGAATGTAATTGTACCTAGAACCCTGGTGAGCAGTTAAGAGAAAGATAGCAAACTGAGAGGATAATATATCCTCAGTCCTGGCTTAAACCACTTAAAGTCCAAGTTGTGAGCTCCTCTATAGCTACTGTCTTAAAAATCCATCCCCCTAGTTTGGAGCTAGAACTATTTCTGGTGGATTCAGACGGACACGACAGTTTTGGAGGAAAAGTGACATGGTCTAAAACTGACTGTTTTCTCTGTTTGCAAACTGAAACATTTCATATGGTCTTGCCAGGGGGCAGGTAGGCCTGGATGAACATCTATATGAAAAAAATTAACCCCCTTATGTAAATGAATAAGCACACCAATCTGTTAATAAATGGGGAGGACTTTCTATGCCGCATTCTCAAATCCATACTGACTCCAACTGCTGCAGCTCAGCACAGCTCTGATGCTATTCTGATACCTTGGGAAAGTCAAGGTTCCTGGGGCCCTACACTAAACTCTGAAAAGTACAATGCGTTGTGTAAAGAGCTAAAAATATCACAGCTTTACCTAGGATCACTTGTAATTGAACCATCTAGCCTTCTAAGTGTCAACATTTGATTCCCTAATTTTCAGGATCTGACAGCTGCAGCTAGGAACCTGCCAACTTTGCCCCATGCTCATTGTACTTTGTTTGAAGTACTTAAAAAGATTTCATAATCCCCAAAGCAGACAATTTATTCCTACCTTTTTCCACTTGATGTAAATGAATCAGTTACTCCCTGCTGCTTCTCCAAAGTTGTATCTAGCTGTACAACCCTCCAACCAACTGGAGTGCTGTAACATTCCTTTTTGTGAGTAGAGAAGAAAGCAAAACACCAGCACCTAAAAACATAAGCCAGGATTGACCTTTTGGTGAATGAAGTGCTAAGAAGACCTCAGCTGGAGATCCAAGTACTGGTAGTGGAGCACAAGCTAGGAAGGCACTGGTTCTTCAATTGCCAGGTCTTGTGAGTGCCATGAGGTAAGAGGATACAGCAAAGCGAGACAAAGAGAAGATGACAAATCCTGGGTATAGGACGAAGATAATTCTTGGATTTAATGGTAGCATTTAGATAGCTGGCAGGATTTAAAGCCTGATTTAAGTTTATGACAGCAAAGCTATTTGTTAAAATCCCTCTTTCTTCCTTTTGGAAAACGGAGGAACTAAATGTAAAATGTGTGTGACTGCAACAAGAAAGCAGAAGGAAGCCCTTGGATGCCAGATAGTGCCAAGTGCAGGCTGAATGTGCAACCTCTTTCTGTCCCCACTGAACATACGTATTCCAACAGTGACTCACCACTACTATGCTCATCAAGACTTCCTTTGGTATTGGCTCAAAGCTGGAGTAACAAAGCACTGAATCAGAAAATGCAAATTTAAAAGCATAACGTATCAGAATCAAATCCATAGCAAAGGATTGGTGAGGGATGAGCTGAGACTTTTACTGATGAGAGAGAACCTGTTCACTTGTGCTTCATCACCTCTTTCCTGCCAACTTGCTTCTCTCATCTCTCAGTCCTGGCTTCTCACAACCTAGGCTCTGAAGCAGGACCTGTTCTGTCACATTCATTTGCAATGTACTTTAAGGAGATATGAAGACTATAGCACCAAGGTCCTATGCAGCATTTTTGGCAGCAGATGTTTACAAAGAAATTGAATACCGCCATCTCCACTTTCCACATGAGGAATCTGTGACCTTTTAAAAAGAAGTGATCAAAACCATCAAGAATTCAAATCCTTTCCTAGTTTTTAGCCATAGGATATGCTCTTTCTCCTGCCTTATGCTGGAGCCCATGACCACCACTGCAGTTCACCTAACGAAGTCACAAACAAGAGCTGGACACGGGTTGTATAGTGCTGGCTTCCTTGGGCCAACGTACAGAAAGTATTTGACAAAGGAGGAACTGCTTCCTATGAAAAGACAAATGCTTCTCATAATAAGCTGGTGGTTTTGTACAAAGTGCTCAGTCATTTATTCTTCATTCCTCAAAACGAAGACTTGAAAAGATTTAGAAATGAAAAGCAGAACAAATCTGAACAAAAGGAATGCAGGTTATTCTCAAAACAGGTCTTGTCTTTTTTCTGTCTTGAGCCTCTTCCTTGTGTCAGACAATTAACTTGAGTTTTTCATTATTAAGCCTCTTTACAAGGTTCTGTAACCACATTTCCTTCCTACCCTGCTCTCCTTGAATTACTACAGTCAGAGTATGTTGTATCCCTCAAGAACAGGTACAACATGAATTAATTCTTACCTTACAGTACATTTACAGATAATGTAAAACATTTGTTGCTGTCTGGGTAAGGCATTCTCCATGCTTAATTAAACACTTCTGTCCCATCACATGTCACGAAACACAGATTTTCTGCTTTCTGGTTTTGTTTTTACTCAAGATGTTATCAAAGACTTTAGCAATATGCCCACTGGAGTTGAAAACCTTGGAGTGGAAAGAAACCTAATGCAGTGGTCTTCTTATTATTGCTACCTATGAAACACCTATGCAATGTGTATAGTATGTCATGGCAAGAGCAATCAACATCTTAACTCTTCAAAGTCTCTGTGCCTTTGCTTCCATCCATAGTTTTCATCTTGCTTTACAGAGGGGAGAAAAGCAAGAAGGCACCACTGAAATATGCATGGATTCCATACTATAAAGGAAGCCTTTATGCATGAGTGTATAGGCACATTTCCATGCTTGATTCACTCTTTAAAAACTCCTTCACAAGAAAACTGATTTTTGTGGAGCAGGCATGTCCTATGGGATCAGGAAGGGAGTTTCTTCTACAAAGGGCGTTCCCTGTACTGAGTAGTATTTTAAAAAAGTGCAGAAATGGACAAAGAAAGCAAAGAGTGCTACTCCTGATAAATGATGGCAGTGCAAATTAACACAATATGGATGGAATTAAAAGATATATTATGTCGGAGAATGATACAGCTAAAATCATCTTTGCTTTAATGATTCTGTAAGTACAGTTAGCAGGCTTTTTCCAAGCTGAGAAACATTACTGTCAGAAGAAAAGTCCATTAATTTCACTGACAAACTACTACCCAGCTGCAGCAGCCTTATTCTTTGCAAACTCTGAAGAAGAAAAAGCAGCTTTGATAAGTGCAGCTTCAAATATAACTTTGCCTGAGCTGTGCTGACTGTGCCAGTCAAAGTCTATTGCAGCTAAACTGCAGGAGGGCCTGGGAAATATTTTTTTCAGTAAAAACTTTTGCAGGTAACAAATAAAACAGAACTAACTGCATTTCAGATAATTGCTGGTACTACACTTTATGATCATATATAGACAACTGACAGTAACACCCATTTATATTACACATCAAATAATAAAATTAATCTACATGATTTATCACTTGAACTCCTCATCCCTTCAGTAGTCTTGTTGACTGTTACAGTTTTTACCATCACACCACTGTGGTGACGTTGACATTATTTTGACTCAGAGCCTGGAATGTTATGAGAGCCCAACACTAAAGACCTCATAGACCTGTCCATCTATTAGGTACAACATAAATAACTGAAATTAATAATTGGAAAATAGCTACAAATCAAGCACTGCTCAGTGTAAATGTTGGACAACATTTGAAAGCACCGGATAGCATTGTACTTTCAGCACATTAAGAAAAAAAAATGTCTTCAAACATGTTAATTTTGGAATTCATGATGCAAAATGTGCATTAAAAAAAAAGAGGCCAATCTGGTGCAATGCTGAGGCCCTGCAGTTTGACACCATTCTATAAAAATGGATCAGATACTGTTGAAGCAGTTACTGCAATGTGAAGCTAAAAGGAAATTGCAAGTTAACAAAAAGTGATCCAAGTCTTACAAATTTCCTCTTCCTTGTATCCACTGTTACTCTGCATACCTCATCTCCTTTCAGAACGTCAGCACCTTCTAACTCATGGGCCTGACTGGTCTTCTGCAGCATCTGCTTTTCAGCCCGGGACATCTCTTCCTTGGCAGCCTGAAGCTCTTCTGCCTTGGCTTCCTTCTTCCGGGAAATTATAGATGCCTGCACGAGCATTAAAAATGCATATGGACAAGTAAAGTAAATCATTAGCAAAATGGAATCCATTAAATGTCAGGCACTGCACCACTGAAACCACATTTTAACTGTCAGAAACTGATTTTCATTAAGAAATGTGAGTGTGTCTCACTGCAAAGGAAAAAGCATCGATTCTGCTTTACACACAGTGGGTTAAATCACAACTTCATGGAAGGTGATTGCAGGCTCCCAACTTTCTTCTGTACAGCTGCAATTTCAAGCATACCTTCTCCTCCCAGATTCATGGTGATATATTTTACATTCAGATTTACATTTCTTCACCTCATTTTCATTGAAGAAAAAGGCAGGCATTCGAGCTGCTCCATTTCTTCTGCTTAGTCCCTTCTCGTGCATATGTAAGATACACCAACATGGCTTAACTGGAAAGTTATCCAAGATTTCACAAATGTCATAATACAGATTTTTATAACTCCAACCTACTCCAACCTACAGAAATATGTTATACTAACAGCAGAACCAAGACACTAAATCTTGGCAAATAGCTAGGAGACAATGAATAAAGCAATGCAGTACAGTAATAGTATAAATTCATGGGTTTGGTTTTTCAGGTTTTTTTGTTTGTTTGTTTGATTCATGGATTTGGTTTTTCAGGTTTTTTTGTTTGGTTGGTTGGTTGTTTTTGTTTTTTTTTTTAGTCTAGAAGATAAAGGATTTTTTAAAATAATGTTTTGTACAAGACAGAATGTTTAATAGTACCTAACATTTGACCAGTAGCTAACAGATTTGGGAACATAAGTGTACAAGAGTTGAGGGAAAAAAAATGGCATTTTGATTCTGCTAAAGTGTACTATTTAAAAATATTTTAAAATAACACAACACATTAATTTAGATGCATGTGCATGAATTTGGGGGAATGATCAGTTTCTTCATATGAAAGGGAAAACTTTGGAAAAAATGAAGCAAAACACACACCAGCTTTCTCACACTAGGTTAAAAGCACCAGCTTTATTTCTAAAAATATACCTAACAGAATTCTGCTGGGCTAATACTTTGCTCTTTGCTTCATGAGATATCTGCAGTGACAAACTGTGGTAAAATATATATGAGTATTTTGTGAAACAGAACCCAGTCCCTCACAGATCAAAGCAGAGACCACCATGTGCTTTCAGCTCACAGCAGCAACCTGAATTCCTGGAGTGGCTCCTCCATGGAAGATAATTACATCACAAACCAGTTGTTCTTTGGTACCAGCACATGATGTAGCAGGTTCTTCTTTTGGGAAGAACATCCCATACAAAACAAAATGGGGTGTTTCATATTGCGCATGTGATTGAACTGCAGTATATATTTTATCACAATCTTTTTCCTCCCACTGATACATTTTACTTAAGCCTTTTTATTTTTTAAACTGTCACCATAAGCATCATCATGAGAACCTTCAATAAAATTAGCAGCGGTACAGGTTGCCTGAAAAAGAAATCACTTATATTTCTGTGTAAGCTCTGAAAATCTCAGAGTCCATAAATCCTTTTTATAACTTGTGAATTTACTAAGACTAGATCAGACAGCCTGTTTTATAGAAAGACTATTTTATAGCCTGAGGATGAAAAAAGAAAAAAAAACTAAAATCAAAGAATACCTTCTTAAGAGCTGTAACAGGAAAAATAGCATGTGGTCAAACACAAGTGAGGGGCATAACCAAAAGCAAGCCTTGCATCCAGGTCTGACTGCAGCAGCCAGCCCACATGCTGCCTTTCAAGAATCTGTCCACAGCTGGAGCTTTACCAAAATAGCTCCTCCAAAATGATCCTTCCAGAATTACTGTGATGCAGCTGAAGGGCAACACCTAACAGTTTAAGGACAACAGTCAATACAACCTCACCGACATGAAAGTGATTGTTTGACTCAGCCCTAATCATATATTCAACAGCTATTTATTTCATTTTTGTCCTTTATTATTATGTATTTCTACTGATTTATGCTAAATACAGAAAAAAAAAAATCAGTTGTTTTGTTCTTTCTTACCTGTTGGCGATACAAGGAAAAAATACAGGAAAAAAAAAATCAGTATGTAAACCAATCAGTGACTAAAATTGCTCTATTGCTTCTGCTTAAAAAATGTTTTGTTCCTTCTTACCTGTTGGCGATACAAGGAAAATTTACTGTCAATTGGCTCATACTTCATCATTCTTTTCTCAATAAGCTGATTCATTTGTGCATTTACTTCATTTATCTGCAAGGCAGAGTAGAAAACTAAGAAAATGGAGCTTTATTTCTTTGTCTTCTCTGAGAATTAAATGCTTTGCAAACCAGATTTACAATCCAGCTAGTTCCATTTTTAAAACGGAGCAACAAACCCAAAAAATTCAATGAGTCATTAAGCACTGGCCAGGAAGAGGCTATGGTTTTGCATTTCCAGTTCTGTGCCTTTATGATAAGGCAGAAGCATGACGTTGGCCCTGAAAATGAAGTAAACTGGTGCATGTGGAGAGAAAATGCATACAAATTGGTACAGACAGAAAAAAGTTTGATGTCACATATTGGTGAAAAATGTAATTTGATCAATATTGACTAAAATTCCTTTTCACTCAGCCATTTTCCTAAGTTTAAAGGGGGGCAAATAAAGACTAAGTGATATCAAATTTCCTCAGTACTTTGAAGAGTCACAGACCATCATAGTCCATCTCTATGGTACCTCCTTTCTGCTGCTAAAAAAATGCACCCATTTGGCTGTAGTCTCAAACTGTTCCTCTCCATTCTAACTGAAGCTTCAGAGCACCTGGGAGCTCACCAACAGCTACAGCAGTGTACTGCCTCCAGCTTTTCCAGTCCTCACATAGTGCTACCCTGGGACTCTCATCAGCCATGGAAACCACAGCCCTAGCCACCTTCCTTTAATTCTCTGCTAACAAGATGAGTGCTGATAAGCAAGCAGTGTAAATATGTGCTGAAATCCAATGAAGTCAAAATGTTAATGCAGGTACAGTGCTGGGCATAACCCTAATGTTTCTGTGAGTGATACCCATGTACTTTGAAAGCTCAGTATTTCAAAGAGAGTGCTCAATAGGTCAAAACACCTGAAAAAAAAAAACAACCTGCTGTAATTTCCCTTCCTTTGCAAAAGCTATTAGTGGTAGAACAAGCCTGAATTTGAAGATTCCATAAGAATTCCCCTTTGTGAATAAATTCTTGGTTTATGTATCATAAAACGCATGATAGTAGCATGCTTAGTGCAATTCAGCTCCTTTCTAAGACACTGAGATAACGGAAGGCTGACTTTAAAACAAAACACTGTCTAAGGCCATGCTGTGATAACAGCCAAGTATATGACATGTTTTTATTGTTAAGAAGAACATACTTCCAAAATACAACAAAGTAAAAGGTTATATCATGGAGAAACAGAAAAAACAAAACAAAGCAAAAAAAACCAAAACCACACAAAAACTTGAAGATATTTGAAATATTGCCAAAAACCAAAAAATACTCATGTAAAAGAATGGTGCCAAATAGGGCTTCAGCTATGCCTGAGAGAGAACTGCAACCACAGAAACTGTTTTGATTAGAAGAAATAAACTAGGAAAGCAGAGGCTGAATCATGGAGCTAGTTTATTACTTCAGACCTAACCTACCATTTAATAATGCTGTTGTCCTTACAAGTGTAACAGTCAGAATCCAAAATGTCTTTAGGCTGTCCCTCATCTTACTTTTGTCTTAGCCTTAAACCAGAACATATTCTAGATGGCATTTGACTGTTGATTCTCATCTGACCCAAAAAACCTGTGGGCATTGCTTTATGACATTACTTTGCCATGTTCTGTGTGTGAATGCACGGGCTACTATGATGCTGATGGAGCTGCTGAAGCTCTCTGCTCCAAGGCACAAGGAGAGTGGTGGACAGCAGCCCTCACACCCATGGGGAAATCATTCTCTGATCTATTACAAACACTCTGTTTCCTTATTTTCTATCCACCACAGCAAAGCCTGAGTTGGAGATCCTGGGAACATTAAAAAACAACTAGTAAGAGAAGAAGATTGAACAGTGTACTTAGTAGTATGCACAACTAGTCTTCCTACCCTAGCTAACAGTGTTATAAATCTTCAACAACAGAAATACTAATAATTAGCAATCTTCTAAATTCTTCTAGAACATAATGTTACATATTTCATCTTTTAATTAGGATTACATGAATATGAAAACAGCATTGAGTGAAATATATAAATGGACTTCTGTGGCAACAAGTCCCTCTGCACATTCTGGAGATACACTAAAAATAAGGATTTTTGATCATTCTGACATCGTTTGCTTTTAGCTTCTGAAAAAATCTGGAAAGGTAAATCAACTCTTTGATCCCTAGATTTCTTTTATTCTTATCAACTAAAGCAAAGGGTGCAGACCTATTCCAAACTCTAAAGAGTTCTGAGCCACTGCACATTGATTAAGACATAATACTGTGAAAATATATCCCCCAGAGAATGTTGTTCAGTGCTCCATAAACACTGTCTGTATGTTGGCATGAACATATAAACATAGCAAACTGCTAACACGTATTTCTGAATAGCATTCAAGGGTAGGGTTGGCTTTGGGGTTTGCTTTTGGGGTTTCTGTTTGTTTGTTTGTTTGTGGGTTTTTTTAGAACTTCACCTGAGAGTTTGCATTTAGTGCTTAACACATCTTCCTTTCTTCCACAACTGAAGGGATGTTCCTTTGGGAGCAAAACATCTCCTCAAGGATATAAAGTTGGGGTAAGAAAACTACAGTGTACAAGAACCTTAAGACAGAACACAAATTAAGTGTGACCTTGGTCAACTTACCTTGATTTCAAGAACATTGAGATCAGACTGACTCATAGCTGGCTCTGCAACCACCTTTTGTAAGAAATATGCCGAATTCTTCTTACTTTCAAGCTCTCTAGGTAATTTATCAGTAACCAGGTAGGAATTAAAATTTATCTCTTCTTCTAGTTTCTTCATTAAACCTTAAAAGCAAGTTAGATCAGTGTGTGTCTATAAAAGTAATGGAGTGGATAATTAAGTTTGATTTCACCAACACATTACTTAGCAGCAGATTATAATAACAGCAGTGTAACATTTGAGTCTTCTTTTCAACACTCAAAGAAACAGGTAGTTACTTAATTTATATTTTCAGTCTGGATGTTAAACAATCTAATACGTATTATTATCCATCTGCACCTCTAACACATAACTATTAACTCCTTGACAGATTCTTTTAATCAATAAACAAGCAAAACCCTTCTTACATGAAACTCTGGCTAAATCAGATGCAAAACTCAACACATAGCATTGATTTAAAAAGCAATTAACCCTGTGTGTGTCTTACATCAAGATATGGGATTGTGTGTTATTTTTTCTGTGTTGTGACTTCCTTCTTCTTTAAAGGTTAAGAACTAGACTTCAGTTGTTTATGCACATGCAAAGTGAGGAGCAGCAAAGCATCCTGAAGTTGGTCCTACTCACAGATTGCTTCAGTCATTGTTTCATGTGAATTACATCATCTACAGACAGAAATTATCTCTGTGTGAACCCTTTATCTGCACAAAGATCTAAATTTGGCCTAGCTCTTGTATAAATTTTGTTATATCCTTAGAAATTATCTCTCAAAATGAAACTGTATTCTAATCTGGCATCTAAAAAGGCCTTTAAATGAACAGAAGTTAATGTATGCCTACTTCAAGGGTCTTCTGCATTGCTGGAACACTTATAAATTGCCTCCCTGTAAATAGCACACTACTTTTTCTTGTAAGAAAAAGCATTTAATCTCAGTACAGTATAGAGACTAAGAATGCTGAAAATAATAAGAAATTAGAAGAAACAAGCAGGAATTCCTGAGTAGCATCAAAAATACAGTTGAGAAAAGCAACCCTATTTGTAAGTTTGGCTCTACAGAAGCCTGAAGCACAATGCACCATGCTTATGATGACTTGGCTCTTGGCACGGAGAGTAATTTAGCCTCCTTAGCAGATAATTTATAAATAAACACAGGTACAGACAGATAAAAACAATACACAGCTAGAAAAATGTGACAGAATAAAATAAACATCTATTTAAATTACATTAAACAGTTTTCCACTGACAACAGGCAGTTTAGTGCCATTACTCCTCCGAGACACCTGTGCCAAGGGCTACAGTGAGATTTGGAAGTGAATAATGGGAGATGAGAGTGGGAATAGGTATTTCAGAATACTGTTAATGTTCTAGTCAACTAAAAGGTAGGCATCCTATGAGCTTTTTAAAACTACTTGCTAGAGTTGGGCTGTTTTTTGAGGGGGTATATCTCTCCGTATTTGGGGGAAGTGCAATGAAAGCCAAGAAATTTGCAGTCTCTGTCTCTTCCACATACTGCACAAGCAGAGAAAAGCTTGAGTACAGAGATAGAATAGTACAGCTGGTGCTGCTGCAGCAGAGATGGGACAGGATGGATGTGAAAGCAGAGATTTTGGTTCTCAGGCTAAAAAGCCTACTGACCATATCACTGACTGACAAAAGGAGAAGGTCAGAACAAAGTGAAATACCAGCCTGGGAAAAGAGGCCCCCATTATTCTGCTGCTACTGACCTCTAGAAACACTGTGCTGGTAGATCCTCCTCACCCTCTGCTCCCAGCTCAGACTGAAAGGAAAGCTACTTGGTTTAGCTGCCAGAGAGGAAACAGCCACAAGTTCTTGACAAAGCCTCAAGAACTAGAAGGCAGAAAACAGACCCTAGGGAAAGCAGTTGTTGCTAACCAAGTCAACACAAAGTACAAATGAGTGGGAATTCCTCTTTTCCAGCAGTTTAGCTTGTTGATTTCTCTGTTTATGAAAAGCAACACTGCCACACAATCTTTTCCCCTTTGTGGAAAGGTCATTTATCTTCTGCAAAACAAACAGCATCAATGTTGTTTTCAGAATGGTAGTGGAGTTACTCTTACAGATGAAGTACCCATTATGTACCTGGCACTGCAGCTCTACCCTGAGGAACACACCTGGGCTTTCTGAGAGAGAATTCCAAGTTCTTGCCTCCAGAAGAACTCAGTTCTAGTCTTCCTCAGCCCAGGACAGAGCTGGGCAGGAGGGACCACATTTTAATGTCTCACTAGAAATCTACTACCTCTGCAAATGCAGCAAAGCTTCCCACGTACACTGTGAGCTGAATTATCACCTCAGAACTGACTAGGAACACAACTCCCCATCTGATATTTATAACCAAGATCTTTGGTGTGGAAATCAAAGTGATTATCAATTAAATTATTCTGATATTAAATATTATATTTTAATAAAACAAATTTCTTGCTTTCCTATTAGTAAAAAAAAAACACCCTGCATATATAGCCTATACTTTATTTCTTGAACTATTCCAGTTTTCTTATAAAAATGTAGGTGCCTAAATAAGTTGTTGTAGATAGGACACTAATCTCAGGAAACAACCACACCTAAACAATTGCTTTCATAAGAGCAGGAACCTACTGACTTCACAGGGTATAACCTTGATCACTGTCTGGATTTATTCCTCAGATAACCTCAGAGCTACTACCAGCTTCTGCACACGGGCTGGTTCTGCACTATGTGCACACTTGATGGTACAACAAGCATTGGAAACGAGTTAAAACTTGACATCTTGATGGGGAAAGACATGCTGATGTCAACATCCCTCATGACTCATGTAGTTTCTTTCCCAAACACTTTGGATAAATTTTTCCCTTTTGAATTTATTTTTCACTTACATGATTCAACATATGGAGAAGTAACTACCTAAGAGCTATTTTTGCTGCTTAATAGAACCTTAAAAAGCAAAACATAGGGCAGCTCTTCTTTTTTTTCAGTAAAAAACATTCTTTTCTCAAATTCCCAGGCTAAAGGAAAGAAAAGCAAGAATACTTTAAATCTTTCCATTACACATATAAATTTTGTTTTCAATGTTTTAACACTGACTTATGGTTACAGAATCTACATACGTCAGCTGCACAGAGTCTGGCCCTGTGCCCTGAGGTTATTTTAGCAAGGTTCTGCCAACCACATATTTACATGTACAGAGCTATTAAGAGCAACTCCTCATGTTTTCCATTCAAATTTTTTTATTATTATTATCACAAAGAGAGGGATGGGAGAGTTTCTTAGTGCTTGCTCAGTCATGTAGGAAAGAGGCAAGTTTCCCTGCATAATTCTGCTAATGGATCTAAAACTTGATTTGCCGTGTGCTCAGACTCCTACTTCTCTCTCCACAGGCTCCTAGTTGTGTATCCTATACCAAAACCATTTGTAACAATAAGTATTTTTTTTAAAAAGAAGGAGGAAAAAAAAAAGAGGAGCACTCATTTTATAGACTATCTGCCAACACTTTGTTTAATTTCACATGGGAAGGCCACGACAAAGCCAGGTCTAGAACAGACTTTCACACGGTGTTCACATACATCAAAGCCTTCACTTCCTTTCCTGCGATCATCCTCAGTGAGGGAGAACTGAAATTATTCCATCCACAGCTTCCAATGACATCACTTCCAATTTCTCTGTATTAAATAGAGGCCTGGGATGTGCAAACACTGACAGATAATGATTAAACCATCCTTTGAATATCTCCTTGAAAAACTTTCTGAATTTGCCATTGTAAGTTGTGCTTTCCCTGTTTATAACTATCACTGATGAAGTCTCTCTGACCTTTCAGCATTCTTCTTGAATTCCTGTCCGTGGGCACAGTGTTGCAGTGATGGACACATCAGAGCTCAAGAGAGGTAATAACTCTCCTATTTCATTTTCTTCCACAAATAAATGCATGGATAGCAACAAATCTTTGACACGAGGAGCTCCAGTTCTGCCATTTTTACACCAGGACCCACAAGTTCTATTCAGTAACTTCTTAGGGAAGAGTCCCACGTGCTGCAACTACACTGCATATACAATATTCCTCAAGGAATACTGTAGCATTTAGCTATTCCTTAAAATAAATACTGTTGGCATGGGCTTGGCTTCCTAAGCTTTTTACCAACCAGACTTGTATTTGCATCAAAGATATCAGCTAGCTTAAAAGTGTTTTACCACTAACCTTGCATCAATTGACAGCAACTTTAGAATAAATAAAATCATTTAAAGAAGGAAATAAAGTTCCACCTAAGCCATTCTCCTTTACCAAATAATTTTACTGTGGTCCACAGTGTTGGTGGAGATCACTTAAACTTGGAGTTTTAGGGAAAGGTAAGTTCTGTGGAAAAGAGAAATGTTAATGTTTCCATTCAAATGGAGTATTTAAATAAGAGCATCCTAAATTTCTATTTTTCATCAGGTGTCCAGAATGATATAGACATCTGTACAATGCAATTCTTCTTTGACTGCTACCTTTGAAGTTCTCAGTGCTCTAAATCTATTACTACATATTAACTTAATGAAGTGTATAAATTACACAATTTACTGTTTATCAACAACAATCATCTTAACACATTCTTTTAATCAATATTTTCAAGCTAGTCATCCACTTCTTCATATTTCTGCCAATAAAAGGAACAATAATGTTCTGTAAAATGGACAGAGATCAAGAATTTCAGTAATTCACTTTGCTTCTTGGCTTTAACAATTTCTGTTTGTGCCAGCAGAGATATTCAAAGCAAAAAGATGGCAACCTCCCTGAGAAAGCAGGAGCTAGGCTACTTGGAACTAGTGGCCAGTGTCAACAAAAACACTGTTCATGTCTGGAACACCACCACCACAGTAAAAACCAGAAACTGCAAACTCCTGCTCCTTAGTGCTATCTGCAGCTACTGCTTCTCTGTAAGTAACAACTTACTGAATAGTACTTAAATTAATAAACAGGGAAGGGGTGTACTCTGGGAACCAGGCTGATCAATTTTAGTCTACAGCACATCTCATAACAATCAACTGGTTTTCACAATACAATATGAAGTCTTCTAAACAGTGTATTTCTAAGAGTTAAAAACTTACAAACCATAAGCTGTATTTTCCTGGCACAGCTAAAGGAGACTGATGCTAATTGCATGTTAATGACACTCATGAGTATGTGCTAGCTGAATTCCTTTAAGAGTTCCTTTACATTTCTTTAAAGTGCTTCATTCTAAATTAATTATAAGATGAAGTAATCAAAGCAGCATGCACCCATAAGATAAACAAAAAAGCTTCTACTCATTAACAGCAATTTTTTATCATTTTATCTTGCTTTGGAAGTAAAGACATCTAAGTATTAAAAATGGAAGAAAATTATTTAAAGGGAAGTCTCTAACACCCAGTGAAAATCAACAGCTACCAGCAGCCATTGAGCTGACAGTATACAAGCTATATTGATACAAGTAGGCAGCTGAGGTACCAAACTGCAGCCAAAGGGAATGTTTAAAATAAAATAAATGGTGCTAACTGTAGACCAACAAAGCTTTTAAAATAAATGGAATCCTATTCAGTGCACTGTGGTCACCCCATTTCAATTATTTAAAAAATGCAGTTGGCTTTCTGCAATTGCTACTACAGGCAGTGTCTTTGTAACTACTATGAGGAAAAGCAATTACACAGCTAAGTTCTGAAGGCTTTGTTTGGGCAAAATTTCAACAGTAAGTTTTCTTAAGTAATGACTCCAAGTTTTTCTTCAGAACATCTAAACACTTTTTTTTCCCCCTGCAAGCAGGACTCAAGATAAGGAAATTAAATCAGTTAACTTTATGTTTATTTTCATCTCAATGATTAAATGACATATTTACTGGCTTTTTATTATGTTACCTTTGCTTCTGTGGACTGAACCCATCAAGTTTCCACTGGCCTTAAAAAAACCCCAGGAACTGAAATAGAAATGTTGACACAGCTTTGCTGTATAAACTCTCCGATAGCTACTGCAAAAATGGAACAGTTATAAAATCCAGTGCAGGTCCCTTTGAGTAAAGATCACTCAGATACTCTTTTACTTCCATTTGTGGTTCAGTAGCTGATGAGCATCGTAAAAAAAATTAAAGTAAAATTATGAAGTAATAAAAACACAACATGGTGGTGACTGAAGAAAAATTCCCTAACTCAAAACAGCTGCCAAAGCAGTTACGTGATGCAACCAGAATATTAAATTTACTTGAAAGAGTAGGACAGTGACTTACTTTACCAAGTTTAAATCCATAAACAATGTATACAGACAATAAAAATCATTCTTTGGCATTTTTTTTTACCACAGCAACTTAGGCTAAAACTGGAAAAGCCCTGTAAAAAGGACCATTCTGTCTTACATCTTCACACTACTTTACACACTGTAAAGTATTTCAAAAAATCAACCCCAGTATGGTTATGAAGAGCACACAAAACCTCTGTCAGTCCTGTGAGGTGTTATTAATGACCAAGTGCAAGAGACAAACTGGAAAGGGTTAAGCAATTTGCCAAGGATCAAACACGTCTGAAACACTGAACCCTAAACTGACTCTCAGTTTTGTTGTCAGACTGCCAGGTCAATCCTTGTTACATTTCCTTCCAAGTGATTAAATCATCAGAAACCTAAAGGCTGTCAAATGGCAGCCTTTGGAGACAGTTTTTATGCATTTATCTAGTAACTGCAATTCCTTCCCATCTGCTGTTTTAAAAAATGATCAGAGTTCTAATTTACTCCATAAGTAGTGTGACTTACTTCACTGAGGTTATTTGCAGACTGAGGTATCACTGAAACTGAGAAGTAATCTTGTTATTCTTAACATAATACAGCAACACAGAACTCAATCAGCCATGGTCATATCATGAGAACAACATATTTTGATGTATAAACAAATATATTCATATATAGGCTTTAATATATAGATATATCTAGTATGTAAGAGTGTGTGTTTATATATAATCCATGATGTATTCAAACAGATGTGAAGAAGCAGCTTTATTTTTGGTACCATACAAAACTACAACACAAAACTGCACTGCAATAAGAAACAGGCCTTAAAGCTTTTCAAATAATTTTTTATAGGAGGTAGTTAGAAAAACAAGACTACACTAAATAAAAAAGCATTCAATGCATTTGTATGTTCACTGAGAAAATTTTTAAGAAGCAGTATTACACCAATGCTCAATGACAAACAGAAAAGACCAAAACAACCATTAAATCAGAAGTTTTCTTTTCCTAGAGGTTTCTGCTTTTTCCAACCCTTTGTAGTTCCAACTGTTGATTTCTTGCAGTGTATTATTGTCAGTATTCAGTATTTAACTGGTTTCAGACTTTTTAAAAAGTGGACCTCAAAATACGACTAACATCATTCCCCCTTGTGATTGTGTCCCTGGCTTTTTGTGGCAAGGCACATCCAGGCTTAGGATCTCCAGCACATGCCTTTAGGAACACACATGATTTCTTTCTTCAGATTTTCTTAAATTCCTCTATGCTTTTTGGCACTGCCATGTTACTGACAGCCATACAGTTTTCATGTCATTTCTAACAGAGAATTGTGACCCCCCAGCCCTTATAGATGACTACTTACTTTCAGGTTTTGAATCCACTACTGCACGATGCATCTCTTTCAGCTGGAGCTGTGCTCTTTGCAGCCTCTGCTCTGCATGGAACAACTTTTGAAAGAGAATTGGACACACATAAGCTCATTCCTTTCAAAGGCATGTTCAGAGAGCTAAAACAAAAAAGTATCACAAAGAATCCCAGATATAAGTAACAGTAGCTGTAAGCATCTGGTGATTATCTGTCTCACAACGGAACGTGCCAAAACAAATTTGCATCAATTGGCCTGGGTTTACTTCCTGTTCTCTAATGTTAACTAAGGAAAGTATTCTTGTACTCCCAAGTGATATTTTCTCTATGGCAGAAATTCATTAGACAATTTTCAACCAAAAATATCAGTGGCTGGAACATCAGAACAACAACAAAAAAAGACAGCAAGAATGAGGATTGCAGCAGATAACTATCCTTATACTGCAGTTCTTCAGTGCAGCCAAGTTGTCCTGGCAATCCACTGTCCAGCCTGAAAGCACACTGGAAAGCTTGCTGCCAAACAACACCCAGCTGACTGGCACTTTGGGGATTTAGAGAGAAGTGTACCAAGATGGGGAATCAGCTGGACATCACATTCATTTTACTTGTGATCTCTAGCAGGCTCAAGCAAAGACCCAACAGCTACTGATTCACATGGATTCCACAGCCACACAGAGACTGCAACACCAGAAACCTGGGTTTATTTCCCCTTTTAATACAGTGTTGAAGTTCATGCTACAGAATTTGGTGAGATGATATAACAATATGGCACCCAAATTTTGCTATAATGTCTTGTTTTGACAACATAGCTCAAGAATAAAACTCACCCTTATATTTAGATGTCAGCTGCTTCCAGTGCTTCCCAGGACTTCATCTTTCTCAAAATAGGGGACCAAAATCCCAAGGTTGCTCCTGAATATGTATTCCCCCCCACCCAGTGAAGAGCTGAGGTAGCTGTTGTGTTAATCAGCCCCTGAAACCTTAGTGCAGATGCACAGAGATACAAATCAAACTAAGGAAACATTTGCTCACTACCATAAATATAAAGAATTCTCTTTGGGTGCTACAACAGTAGGTTATGGAACATTTCCTGGGACTGCTAAAATGATGATGTCAGTGGCAGCTGAGGCAGCCAAGCACCTTGAATGAGGTGTTCAAAACTTGCAGGGTCAAGCTTTTTCCCTTAAAATGCACATAAATATTTCTATTCTAAATGGGATTTAATTTTCTGGGGTTGGGAGACACTCTGTACTGTTGTTCCTGATGTACTTTTTAAAATGCATGATTCCCAAACAGCTATTTATTTCAATAGATAGGCTTTTATGCCAGTACCTGATTTTTTTGCTCTTGCTTCTGTTGAGCCAAAGATTCTTCTCTCTCTTTTTCTAAGCGAAGCTGTCTTGCTATTTCAAGCATTCGTTGATGATTTTGTACTGTCTCCACCTACAGCAAGTGGATAAATAGTGCATGTTACTGTCAGATAGTTGAGAAATACATTAAAGAGATCATATGTCTCACAAGCCCACTTAGCACTTCCTTCCCATACATGTTACTACTCAGAAATGACAGCAAAGTACTGGACTCAGGACTCTTAAAAGCTCTGGACTAACGCCTAGGGAGATTCCTTGTGGGTCAATTAGTTACTTGATTCCTTCCTAGACATACAGTCTGTTTATCTTAATCCTTGTTTGCATTCCAAAATCAGAGTTGCAAGCCAAGGATTATGACAGTGAAATGTAACAGTGTTGCTTCTCTTCTTACCCTCTTCTTAAGACGCTCTACTCTTTTGATGAGTTGATCTTTCTCCTCTTCCATTGCAGTGATGTCCTAAAGGCAGAAAAAATAGATAAAGGAATGTTAATTTATTTACGTCATGTGTATTGGACTAAATTCTGTTCAAATTAATATGAAAAGCAGAATTCTTCTCTGAATACACTAAAGCAGTTATAATTTTATTCATCTATGATCAGAACATCCCAGATTCCAACCTCTCTCTTCTCTCTTACTTCCCCCACAGTTCCCACTCTCTTTATGCTAACATTTCTTCATCTGCATCCTTGACTATTAGTGTGAACATTTAAAATAAAAGCAGGTGGATTTCTCTAAAATAAAAACAAACAAATAGAAACAACCAAGCAAAAATCAGCACGATTTCAACAGCTGATGCAGTCTAACATATGTCCTTAATGTTACCATCATTACCTACTTCCTGGCAGACAATTTTGCAAGAAGTTGCACATGAATGATGTTTGCCACCAATTTTGAATTAAAACTGTGTGAAAAGAAACACCTTCTAGTGCTAAAACATATATTTGATTATTATTCTCTTTTAATTCTGTCCTACAACAGCAGAATTCCAGAGATTGATGGTTATGAGAGAAAGGGAAATAAATCATCAAATTTTAGGCCTTATCTCAACATTTGCTTAACTTGTCTGTATGACTTACTGGGAAGCTGTACTTGTGCTCAAATATTTTGCTGAAACAGAGTGAGTATTTTTACTTAACACCTTAGCCACACAGTATCATCATTTTTGTAATCTCTTAACTCACTCAACATCCTCTGAGATTATTACCCTGTATCAGTAAAGCAGAAGGCTATGTACAAGTTTGCATTCAGAGGAAAGGGAGTTCTAGTATTTGAAAATCATGCTGAACAGAGTCTTGGAGCCTTGTTTCTCAATCTGCTTCAAAAAGCTCAGTTCTGAGCACAAGCAAGGACTTTCTAATCTGTTTGCCAACAGGGAACAGTTTCCAAAAGGCAGCTGCAGTGCCTACTGTGCAACTTATACACTGCAATCAGTCCACAAAACCAACAAAAACAGAACTGACATCCACAAAATATCTAAACAAAAGTTGTGTCACTTTGTCACATTTTTTTACCCTTCTTATTTCTGCAGTAGATAAACCAGATATTCTGAGCTGCTCACACTCCTTATGCAGGTTTTTAAATGCTTCCATCAGTTCTTCATACTACAAAACAAAATCAAAACCATGCACAATGAGCTTCTGCATCTAAGAATTTTCAGGTCAACATGTCACTTTACTACTAAGACAGTAAACAGAGAAACAGAAATACAGTGAGAACAAGTATTAAAAGCATTTTTTTAATCACAAAAGCTTGTCAACTTATAAAGGAAAAATAAATCAGTGAATTCTCTTCTGTTTGAAGCTACACTCAGAAATGTCACCATTTCTTCAGTACTTTCACCTCTTCCCTTGTAACAATCCATAGTGTATTTTCTAAATAGGAAGATGTTATCTGAAAGGGACAATGCTCTATTTAATTCTTCTCTCTTACTCTAAATCTGTGTATATCGCATACATAAATTTATCAGCCCAAAAAGGAAGAGTTTGATCTAAGTGGGGCTAGTTTCATCAAAGCAGTGGGGCTTGAATTACAGAGCACTGAGCATCAGTCTAGCCAAGTGGCCCAAGAGCTCCCCTGACTTTACACGTGAGAAGCAGTTTTGACACATTGCATAATCCTGCCCTCAGTATATTCCAGAGATGGATTTAAGTAGTTTGGTGGTTAGAAAGAAGTAGACAGTGTGCTACTTCCACACCAGTACATTGCCCACCAGTAATCTTAAACTGAGAGGCAGTGTGAAAGTCTGTGTGGGAAGAGAAATAACAGGGGACAAAAAGAGTTTAGAAATATGGATAGGAAATAAATTTAGATTCAACTTGGGAAAATGCAAGCTGAGATAGAAGGAAAGCTGATCTCCACAGAAACAGCCATTCAATGGGATGGAAAAATCTAAAAAGAGAGTATCAAGTCATCTCTTACTTCCTGGAAAGAGCAATTGATGTGAATGTTGAATACAAAATGGCAACAGCAAAGGCCAGATCAAACAAAGGCATCATACCCCTGAGCAGTGAGGCAGCAGATCTACCCTATAAAACCCTGCAGAACCAGCACTTAGAATGCTCTGTTCACCTCAGCATCAAGCACACACTGACAAGCTGGAATGAACTTTTAAAAATACCAATAAAATGGTTATTGAGAAGATAAATTAATAGAGAAGGAGCTTGACTAAATGGCAAATAAAGGTATGATAAGGTATGCACATGCTGGACAACGAAGAACAAGTTGTAACAAAGCAGGAGTAAAACCAGAACTGGCCTGTGTTGGATCCCTTACACATCACAGAAGTCAAGTATTTTAACAAATAATATCTCATTATTTGTTAGGTAGTCTCTGAGCAGCTGTATTCATGACTGCTGGTGTCAGACAGCTCTCCTTCGTGTGGATTCTCTAGCTCTTCCAACAGGGGAGCTTAACAAGGCTTTTCCTTACTGGGACCCAGCATTTCAAGAGCAATGGCAAGATCCACCCACGGGCATTGCATGGTTTGCCAGATGAGAACGAAGGGAAGGTTTCTCCTTTTCACAGAACAAAAGCTGCAGCTACCCCATGTGTACCCAAAATAAGTGACACACTAATGACCAAAGAAGATCCAGCTTCCTGTAGTGGAAAGAAAGATTCCTGGTGCCTGGAGACAACTCACTGAAGACTGGACAGTGAGATTTATGCCTGAAGTTGTTTACTTTCCAAACGACAAACTGCAGCCAATCTGTCCAAATCACAGCACAGTTCAGAAGCTGGTGAGTACTCTGAGTACCTTTTAAAAATGATTTACAGAAGTACATTTGAGCTTGATTCTTTATACCCATAAAACTTGACCACGTTCTAGGATTTCCAAACTCCTATTTTAAATGTTTCTCTTAAAAGACACTATGGGGAGCCTGTATTTCTAAATAATGTAGGCTAAGTTCTTTAATTCATTAGTATGTAAATATTTGCATTGTAATGTTAAATTATATTAAGGCAGTATATTAGCCCAGCTCCTGTTCTGAATTAATCAGCAGGGTATTAGTTTATTAAGACGTTTCTATTACTGTAATCCCAAAAAGGAACACCTCTTATGTAATGGAAATACTGGAGCTGGGTATTTATACATATTAAGACTGTGACATACTGAAAAAAACATACAGTCTGCATTCCTTTCTCTCTTTGCTACTTCTGCTTAGTTATTCCAAGTCACAAATCCCATACTGTTAATGGTAACAAAAAAAATAACAGGCTTAGTCAAGCTCCAGTCTGGTGCAGCTTTGCTGGTGCACAGTTACTAAATGGAGTTACCAGTTACAAACATTCAAAACCCTGTGATTTTGCAAGTTGCTACACTTAACAAAAGGCACAGAAAACTGGATAAAAATTAGGTAAATATGTACCACAGATAACAGAGATCTAAACCCATAACTTCGGTTCACTTTAAGCTTTACACTTCAAACCCACCCACTCTGACTATCTAAAATCAACACTTAATGCTCACAAAAGAAGTGAGAACATAATGAGTAGGAATGTCAGAATTTTTTTTACTTATTGACAAAAATTAAATGGTTAAAGCAGAAGTGGGATATGGCTTATACAAATATTAGACACTAAATACTATAGAATTAATTGACAATTAAAAGACATTGGCTTTTGGTCATCACATTGTCCAGACTAGTTTGAAGTGGTAATTCAAATTAAAAAATATCCATGTCATAGTTCATAGGAAAAACAAAAAGCAGCATTTAAAATTTCAGAAAAAACATCTTGGCCAGTACAGCTCTGAACATTATTTAGCACCCAGTACTTAAATTCAATGTTACCTACATAACTTCAGGGTTATTGGAAGAAAGGTAGTCAAGATAGCCAAGGAGCTCCCTGAGTCATTCATCCCTCTTCCTACTGGCACTTTAATTATTTAACATAACATGTTGGCACTTGTGAAAAATGGTACCTGTTTGTTGATGTCAGCCACAGTCTCATCCTGCAGGAACTCTGCTGGCACTTCCAATTTAACTAAGAAACGTGCCAGGTAAGCTCTTTTCTTGAGTTCATTGGTCCTCTGAAGAAGCCAGTGTAAGAGAGGATGAATTACAGGTTTGCTTCCAGTAACTAACCCTTGGCGAAATGCACTCCTATACAAAAACATCAAACAGAAAATACCAGCACCTTCTGAAATAAAGAACACTGGCTTGGAACAATTTGCAATATTTTGACATTCTCTGTCTACTTTCCTAATGCTGTTAAAAGAGAAAACACTCACAATGCCAGTTTGCTACCTAAGATCCTGAGTCTGCTACCTTAAGACAGATAAAAACCCCGTAACACATCAAAAAGCTAAAGCCAGCAACGACACTTCCTTCCGTTCCTGTCCAAGAACGATGTTCTTGTGGAATGAAGGTGGGAATTGTGGGGTTTCTGGGTTAGAACGGCGCTGGTCTGGAAGGACGGGGACGGGACTGACCCTGCCAGTCCCGCTGCACCCTCTCCTGGCTGGCTCCGGCTGCTGCAGCAGGGCTCGAGGGCAGCCCGCACCCCAGGAGCCTCCTGCGGCCACCCTCCACACCGTGCCCTGGGAGCCCACAGCCCGAGCACTGGGGGCACTTTGGGTGGCACAGAGTAAGAAAGATACGGGGGGGCTGGAGCGGGTCCAGAGAAAGGCAGCGAAGGTGGTGAGGGGTCTGGGGAACAGGGCTTAGAGTGGCTGAGGGACACGGGGTTGGTTAGTCTGGAGGAGAGGAGGCTGAGGGAGACCTCATTGCTCTCTACAGCTCTCTGAAAGAAAGCTGTAGTGAGGTGGCTGTTGGTCTCTTCTCCCAGGTAACTAGCAATAGGATGAGAGGAAATGCGTTTAAGTTGCCCCATGGGAGAGTTTGGATATTAGGAAGAATTTCTTCACTGCAAGCATGGTGAGACATTGGCCCAGGCTGCGTGGGGAGGTGGTGGAGTCACCATCCCTGGAGGGTTCAAAAAACTTGTGGACATGGCACTTTGGGACTTTGGTCATGGTAGTGTTGGGTTGATGGCTGGACTTGATGATCTTAGAGGTCTTTTCCACCCTCAATGATTCTAAATGATTCTATGATCCTCTACAGGGACAGGGGAGGAGCTCTCTCCAAGGTGTTACACTGGGATAGCAGAGGTCTAAACTTCTGAATTAAAAGTCATTATCATGTAAGCTGTAAAAGATGTTCTACCATGATTTGCAGACAAAAAGATACTTACAAGTCTGATACAGTTCCTGGAGGTTTGTATTTAAGGATACCAAGAAGACCCAACATTCTTTTAGCTGTTTGTTCCGGCAGCTCCTCTCTAATGTCAACAGCATGCTACATAGTTCAAAAAACAATTTTAAAAAATTATCTACTGTTTATCCAAGTCATGTTAATTAGCTAGCAACACGAAAATAATTTACTTTATCCATTTATCATGTATGTCAGTGAAGTGAGATGCTCCACACAGAACATTCTTTTTATCACCAAACTTCAGATCTCCTCTAATGGATTTTTCTCCAATCTAGGTACATTTATTTGAAGTTTACATTCCCTGTGCTTATAAGACCTCATCAGTGCTGACAAACTGATTACTTCCACAAATCAGTCTGATATCCAAGCACATCAAGGCATACCTATCTGTGTCCTCATGACAAATGATCCCTTCTGATCTCACGTGTACTTCTGGGAGCCTCAGAGGAGAGGGATTCAGTATCTACTGCAGCAGGTAGGTCAGAAGGCTCAGTTCTCAATCAGTTCCTGCCCTGTGCATGTGTGTGAGCCTGCCTGGCTTTTGACTTAAGAGCATTCTGGTTGTCAGTATGAAGCAAGTTAAGATCGGTATCCCAATTTCCAAGGAAAAATATACAGACATCGGTCTCTGGAGGACAGGGATCCAGTAGCCCTGGCCCAAGAAACATTTCCCAAAAACACACAGATGTATAGACAGAAAGGATTCTTGCCAAGCCCATTTATTTCCAGGAAGATTCATACAAGCTGTTTTGGTAAACCAAACATGCCATAAGATTAGACAAAGCCAGTTCTAAATAAAAGCACAGTTCTGTGTCGAGCCCATTTAAGATGTTTGCAATTAGCCACGTCTGCCCAGGGACTTCCAATTGCCTTCCTTACCTTTGGGTCAATCTCCCCCAGAACATCACTGAGCAGCTGCAAGAGCTGCGTCGACTCTAAGGAGTCGAACGTGATTAAATTGTAGTTCTTCCTGAAGGGCTCCTGATTGAGCTTCTCAACAATGGCCTGGATTTGGTCCCCCATAATCCTGGCCTGGGAAAACCGCTGCAGGACACACAGGAGAGACGTCACGAGGCGCCGGCGGGGAGACGGAGCCGGGGCTACCGGCGGGCGGGTGAAGGGACCACCGCAGC